ACTGATAGGAACTTTCTTTGCGACTTTTCTTTAAATGTTTATTTACCAGGATGATTTATTGAAAATCAGGGAAATGATGAAATGACTATTTGCTTAAATATCAAAGGTGTCAAGAAAAACTTTCTGGACTATGAATATTCATTTGAAGAAGAATCTCATGTTTTATCTTCCCAAGAGACTAGTTCAACCAAATGTGGACTGTGCTTCTTCAAAATAATTGTTTTAACTGCACGTTCTATTACTAGAGACTCCTAACAGATTTATATGAGATTGGAGACATTGTCCTCTCTATCTTTCATGTACATAGTCTCATACCTAAATTTAAAAAAATGTGTCAGCTATTATCTGTCTTTCTCACTTAGGAAATGGTTAAAAGCCTGGAGCCCCTGAGTGACACATGGGGGCATTTAAGAGAGACAGTCTTTTTAAAAAATATATTTTTATTGATTTCAGAGAGGAAGGGAGAGGGAGAGAGAATCATTGATCAGCTGCCTCTTGCACGCCCCCTACTGGGGATCGAGCCCACAACCCTGGCTTGTGTCCTTGACTAGAATCGGACCTAGGACCCTTCTGTCCGCAGGCTGATGGAGAGCCAGTATTTAAAATAATAACAATTTAAGGATTTCTATTTTGTGCCTTACAAAACTGCTCTACCTCCTTCTAACTGTATTTTTCTTCAGTTTTCTTTTTAAAAACATGAAAAAAAGAGCATAAAGATACCAAAGAAAAGCATGTGGTTTGTTAAAATACGAATATAATTCTCTTTACTCATAACTAGAATCCACTTTGGTGGAGTCTTTTAGACCTCAGCCTGCTGCTGCTGATTTTCCCACTTACTAAATATGAGAAGCATTTGCCATTTAAAAAACGGCACCAGATTCATGGCACTATTTCTGACATAAATTAGAAGCAAGTACTGTTTGAAATTATGGCATACACCCAGCAATTCTATTAATCATGACTGCAAAAAAAATGTTGATGGTAGATTCTTGGAAAGCCAAACAAAATTTCTGTGTCTTTGAAGCTTATTTTTGTGGAACTACTATCTCACTTTTTCCCTTTAATGTTTGTGGAAAGTGCTATACTGGTATCCGCAGAGAGGAGATTCTTTTTATCCACAGAAATAGGAGCCTTTCTGAGGAACAGTTCTATGGCTTGTGGTCTTAACTTGTGTGTAGTAGAGGGTCTTCCAAGTGCCTTAGCGACTGGGTTTCATCATGTAGTGACAAGCTCTGCCTCTGTCTGGATCTGTTCAGAGCCAAAGGAACTCACCAGAGGGCTAGCCTCTGTTATGTTGTCATTAGCCTCTGATTGGCCCTTTAGTTACTTTTACAAGCAGTGGTTTGTCCACTAAGACCATAGATATTTGGAGAGTTTGTCATCTTGTATGAGTGTGTGTGTGTGTGTGTATGTGTGTGTGTGTGTGTGTGTGTGTGTGTGCGTGCACTTAAAACTTTATAAAATAACTCTTACATGACTTTTATTTCAGCACCTTTGCTGCTGTCATCGTAGTCTTCAATCTATGCTAAGCCATAAGTTGATAGATACTGCTATAATGATTTCTTTGACTCTTAACTGAGATCTGTTAATGAGATAATAAATAATCTCACTATTCCCATATTTGCCAAAGCTGACATAATTGTGAGGATAAAGGACATTCTGCTTGAGACAGTTACTATATTAGATATTCCCTGGCACAGTACAGGCAGTCATTAATATTTCTTAAATCTAATTTGATGAGGTTGAGTGTGGGTTGGAAAGACAGAGATATAAAGGATATTTTTTGAAAGCTATCATGAATTAGAAATGGAGATAAAGTTTTGAAGTCATAATTTTACTCTGTAAAGAAATTGTGCTATTGTGTTGTAGAATTAAACTACATTGAGAGGATAATTCAAGTCGAATTAGATTTCAAAGTTCTCAAAATTGTTGATGAGAAATTCCCTACTGAAAACTATTCTGATTGGGTGTTGTGTAATGGAGTAGTAGGTAATCTAAATTTCATCTTTTATGGATGGGATTATAGATGAGAAATGATTGCTTTTGTTGTACTTTTGTTTCAATTACATGCTATCCATTATCTTATAAAAGGCAAATCTAAGTAACATAATTTATCAAAGAAGAGGTGATTCAAAAAATCAGTGTACCTCTTCTGCAGCTTAGCAAGAGGGTAAAAGTCTGCATATACCATGTATGTTTTAAGCCAATGGTTAAGAAAATAAAAGTGATAATGCTGGAAGTGAATTTCAAATCGAATGTAAATGAGGTGATGGAAGAAAAAGCTACTGTGGAAGGTTAACACTCTGCTGTTTAATAGGCTCTAGATACACAGCCAGAGGAACGTAGTGGTCGAGAATTTACTGACAAATAAGGAGCATGGCTGTGATGAAAAGGATGAAGATGCCTTAGAGGAAGTGACACTGGCCCAAAATTTCATAGTTAAGGAACTCTTGGAGATATTTCATGGTAGTAAAAGGGCAAAGGTTAAAGCATTGGAAACTGATCTAAACTTGAAAGGAATAACATTACAGTTATGAAGTAGCAACGAAAATAATTTTATGGTTGGGTCACAACATGAGGAACTGTATTAAAGGGCCAGAAGGTTGAGAACCACTGACTTAGAGGAAGTGACACTGGCCCAAAAATTTCATAGTTAAGGAACTCTTGGAGATATTTCATGGTAGTAAAAGGGCAAAGGTTAAAGCTTTGGAAACTGATCTAAACTTAGAAAGGAATGTGACAATTCACAAAAACTTAGAAAAATTCTCACTCTGTATTGTAAGTTACATGATGAGAAGACAAAACACTGTTCAAACTATTCTTGAAAAGCTTATTACGAAGAAATAAAACTTTAATTCTCCACATTTTAACTTACAGTGTATTAAATACAGGTTAGTTTTACTAGTTTCTTCATTTTCCTATAGATTTATAATTGACAATAAGAGAGTTTTTTAATATTTTTGATAGATGCTTTAAAATGATGCTTCTGTATGGTTGTGTCAATTTACACCACCATCAAAGGTTCAGGAGAATCTATTAGTACTCTCTCTGATACCACGTTCTGTCTCTGCTGTTTTCAGCTATTTGTTCAAGCTCTTCCTCTGTTTCCTATTTTAATGGACAAAAATACACTTAGATTTTTGATTTCCAAAAAAGGGTGGGGCTGGCCTAAACCCTGTTGTGTTTTAGATATTCTTGCTCTCCTTTCCTTTACCCCCATTTTTTAAAAAATAAGTTAGACCGACTGCTTCAGTTTACTTACCATTCTCCTCCTCTTAGATCTTGCAGTCATCTAAGAATAGACACCTTGAGGACAGTGGACATGTCTGTGTTATTACTGAGAAGCCAGTACCTAGCCTAGATATTGACATAAGGTCAATACTTAAAGTTTTATTTAAAGAAATGTGTTCATAAAAGCCACTACCCACCATTCACCCTGGCCCATTCATCCATCCTTCCTTTCTCTACCACCTCTTCATTTTGGCTTTTGGGAAATACCACTCCACCTTCCCATGCCTTCTCCCTGCATCCACGTCCATTTCCCTGTGCATTTTCTTTGTTCCAGACAAAGTAGACTGCTCACTGTTCATCTGCTGCCTTTCATATGCCTTCCTTTCTTTGAACGTCTCCTTATGCTGGCCTTCCTCCTAGATGTTTGCTCTGCTCTGACCTCTCTTTGCTTCCCTCAGCTCTGCCTGCTGTCCCAGACCATCATTGCCCCGCCAAAGGCTTACTCTATGACTTACTTTCTGATCTCCCTCTCCCCAACCACCCCAGACTTTCTCCTTTAAACAACTATAGACCTCTGCAACTGCTTTGCAGAGGCTACCAAGTATGATCCATTTATGCTGTTATATTTACCTCCTCCCACAAAAATAGAAGCTCCCCGAGGAATCTCTCATTCTTTCCTTCAATGTGTAACATAGTTCTTACACACAGTTGGTATTCAATGAATATTTTGTTGGATTGTCCTGTAAAGTGACATTCCAGAGAGCTGTCAAGGAAACTCTATCCCACTAAAAATATTAAGAATTGTTTTATGAGTTCTTTTTTTTTTCTTCTGACTCACAAATAAAAGTTCTGTTGTCCTTTGGTATTGTATGATGTATCCACTAATTTTAAAATGTCAAAGGCCAGGAGAGTGGAGAATGAGGAAGTACCAAGATGTTAGAACCGGAAATATTTTTAGGAATTTCATGTAGTCCAACCCATTTAATTTTACAGGTGAATAAACTGCTGTCTAGAATGCTTAAATGACTTGCCCCAAATCTTACAACCAAATTGTGGTAACATTTGGACCAGAGATGTAGTCACCTAAACCTGTCCAGTGTTTTTCCCACAAGGTGCCACAGTGCATATGAAGGTATTGTTTAGGTTTGTGTGATTCAGCTGTTAAAGGAGACAGCTAATGTTCGCATTGCCTTTCAAATAGGAAATTTACTAACTAGATTTTCCTCTTTTTCTCTCTTGTTGTAAGTTCTATAATTGGATTAATTTATATCAACTGGAAAATTTCTAGCAACATTAACTTTGGATGGCATAGATTTATTGCTAACATTTAAGTAGTCTTTTGGTTTTTCTTGGTGTTTTTTAAAAAATAAATTTTTGTTGACTTCAGAGAGGAAGGGAGAGGGAGAGAGAGAGAACCATCAACGATGAGAGAATCATTGATTGGCTGCCTCCTGCATGCCCCTACTGGGGATTGAGCTCACAATCCAGGCATATGCCCTGATTGGGAATTGAACCGTGACCTCCTGGTTCATAGGTTCACGCTTAACCACTAGGCCATGCTGGCCGGACATAAGTAGTCTTTTTGTTGAAGTATAACATAAATACAGAAAAGTTCATAATGCAGAAGTGCAGTTTGAATTGTCAGAAAGTGAACACGATTGTTTGACCTGTGCTTTGATCAGGAAACAGAGTAACATCAGCAAGTTTAGAAACATTTAAAGAAATAAAGAGTTTTGAAGCTATATAATTTTCTTTTTATCTCCCCACAGATATTGTCAGTCTGTGTCTTAACAATAATCCTTGGCTGTATATTTGGGTTGAAACCAAGCTGTGCCAAAGAAGGTAACTAGTACTGTGTATGTCTGTTGATATTCAGCCTTCTTCAGAATGTGATAAGTGTTATGTTCTAATCCTATGGCTGCTCCATGATAGTGCATATTTGATGCTGGTTTGAGCCGCCTTAAAACTCTTTTATTTTATCCATATTTTATTTACTTGGAAAATATCATCCTAAAAAAATAAAGAGGGGCTATGATAGAAACACCAACCAAACAAACAGAAAACTCCCAAAACAACAAAATAAATTAAGCCAATGGTTAAGAAAATAAAAGAAACAAACAAGCAGACGTGGTCCATGGGTTATGGCATCAGGCTCCTGTAGCCGATCGCTGCCTTCCCCCAGGCACTCCTTTCTCCTTGAGCTGTGAGTTGCAAAGCAACTCCAGAGGTTACCAGGTGACCAGTCAGCATCCCTGGGCAACCTGTTCTCATGGCTCTTAAAATTGTGCACTTAGTGGTTTCAAAGCAATTGTGGTATTTTTAAGCTAATACATGTGTGGTGTGTGTGTTTATATCGAGTGTAGAAATTATCCAGCATTGATAAGATCACTATAAATCATAAAACCGAATCACAGTTCATTGTAGGAGTCATTATTTTGCCTCTGAGGTTTGTTTTCCCCTTGTAAAAGTCATTGAAAATTAGAAAATTCAGTTTTGAAAATTCTTTTCCTGCTTAACGATTCTGTAATTGTACTATTAGTCATTAAAAAATTTAGTGATTATTAAGCTATTATTTATTGCTGAAATGAATGAAATGTAGTAATTTTATGTATTTAGTCAACAATCTTACAGGCATACCTTAGATATATTGCAGGTGTGGTTCCAGACCACAGCAATAGAGCCAGTATGACAATAAAGCAAGTTGTAATCTTTTTGCTGGTTAAGGTTCTTGCTGTCAGTTGGTAAAAAAAAAAAAAATGCAGCATCTGTGAATCACAATAATGAGAAGCACAATAAAAGGAGATGTGCCTGTATTCAGAGCAGAAATTAAGAAGCTGCAGACTTTAGTGTTCGCTGTGTAGCTTTTTGGCATGCAGTAATTTACCTTGAGTTCAGTTTGATATGCAAACATAGCAGTTTTAAACCTGACATAGTGTGTGTGCATAGTATTTTAAAAAATTTCTAGGTGCATATTAATGAGCTTAAAATAATACCTATTATTCTAATAGCTTTTCCCCACCCTGTGTCAGGAAAATAAGCACTTCTGACTCTAAAAAGTATTGTCATTTTATGTTCTTAAAATGGCCTAAAATCCCAGTGTCATAAGAGTTAAGTTCTGTGGCAGTGTCTTGCTGGGTCAGGAGACTATTCAAGTCAAGAGCTAGGATTATTCCTTTCTTCTGTTGGACTTCCATGTATATTTTTTTCTCATCATCCTGATTTTTTAGAAATCCAATAAAAATTCTAGGTTGTTCTAGATATCTAGTAAAGAGTTTCAGTGTAAAATTGTTTTTAGTGAAAACTATTTTCTTCCATATCCTCCATTTATCTATTTAGGGAAAACTTATTAGTACCGATGATAGTCACGTGTCTTGTGGGTACAAGGGATACATTGTGCTGGGCAAAATTTGGGTGTGGTCTTTGTTCTTAAGAAGTTTGTAGTCTAGTGTGAGACTGGGATACTGATCAAATAATCCAGTTACAAATGGAATTAAGTCACTGAGAGGAAGGATATGATTTTATAAAAGTTTAAGAAAGCAAAGTGGATTGAGACTGGGCAGTTTGGGAGAGCTTCTTAGAGGGAGCCAGGCTGGACCTGAAGGTGAAATGGGTGTTCAAGGTGATGGTGATTGAGGGGGTGGGCAGTCCTGCAGAATGTGTTCTGCATAATCCCATTACTTCTTTACACTAAGACAGAGAGTAAGGTAAGTCAGGTATTCTCTCTCTTTCTGAAAGATTCATAGATAATCACTTTAAAAATCTTTTCTCCCATTTTGAAATTTTAGAGAACTCCATGGCTGTTTAAGCCAACCTTCAGAACAAGCCCCTATTTGGACTTGTCTTTACTATCCCATAAAGTATTTAAGTCTTAGCAAACCCAGTAGGGTTGTAATAAGAAAGAAAAAACTTCTCTTTTTTTCTATGGCAAGAGAGAAAATCATGAATTCTGTATATAGGTTACCTTCTATTTGTATCAGTTTCCATGTGTATTTGTGAAAGCTTCTTAGGTAACTTTATTATTCCTTCTGTGTTTCCTAAAGTAGTATTTGAATTGTAGAGAAGATGCACTTAGGTGTATCAGTTGGTGTTTGCTTTGTAATTCTATAATGATTAGAAACATCTAACTCGTTATTCCATATTTTCAGTTAAAAGCTGCAAAGGTCGCTGTTTTGAAAGAACCTTTGCTGCCTCGATTACCAGGAGACGTGTATAGAACCAGGTAAAAATGTGCTGGGGAAAAAGGCAGTCATAGGCATTAGTAAAACCACAGGATGTTTCTGAATCTTTTAGGTACGCGATTACCTAATTCATTTGAGATTTTTAAAAATTTGGCTTTTATATTTCCATAGAGGAAAAAATTCCACATATTTTGGCCATTAAACACTATACGGCCTATTTTTACACTTGATCTTAGCCAAAAGGCCTAGAAGCGATGTATACGGCCTATTTTTAATGTACAACCTAATTTGCATTTAAACTAAGGTCAAAGGAACATATGTGACTATTTTATTAAAGCAAGAGTTCTTGAATGTCCATGTAAACTTTAAGATAAAACCTTCAGAACATGGAAAATTTTCTCAGTTTGATGTCGACTTCTCTACGTCTGACATGGAATAATATTTAAGTGGGAGTGAGCCAGATTTACATTCAAGTTTGAGAACCCTGCAAATGGCTGGTGGAAAAAGCCAAGACCTTCCTATGAATTCCATCATAAGAATTGTTTGTCCACATTGTAGAATGATGAGATTCTGGGGTTTTAGTGAAATAATAACAACTGCTCTGTTTGTTCTGATTGACATTGTGATGGAAGGTTCTGTGACGAACTGAAAGTTATGGACCAGTTTGTTGTCTCTTACGGGTCCTACTCCAGAAGACAACAATTCTGTGTTGAGTTTGGACCCTGAAATTGTTGTTGATATTTATTCCTAGAGCACATATGGACTTGCAGCAAATTCAGGTGTGGTGAGAAAAGGCTGTCCCGAAGCCTCTGCTCCTGCTCAGATGACTGCAGGGACCATGGTGACTGCTGCATCAACTACAGCCCTGTGTGTCGAGGTCAGGTTTCCATGTTCTCAGCCGTCTCTACAGCCTGACGTCTTCCTAGGTCTTAGCTGGCTTTTGCACACGTTTTATTTTTTCACATTAGGAGTCATGTTTATTGGCCAACCATACTAGCTGAAAAAATATTTTTAAACATTTTATTAAAGAAAATTTCAAGCATTTAATGAGTGAAAAGAAAGTGTATTGTGAACATTGTACCTACACCCAGATTAATAATTATTATCTGCACAGGGCTAACCATGTTTTGTCTATAGTGATTCATTCACCAGCTACCACCCCCTCCTGTTGTTTTGACATTAGCTTTATATTTAATGCCGTATTGTGGAAAGGTCATCCCGGCTGACTCCCTGTGTCCCAGGTTCCCTTGTAAAAACACAAGGATCATGACTTCCATGCCACCCCAACAAATTCAATTAAAAAAATAGCAGCAACTTAGATGCTGAATTTATGACATGAGTAATAGGAGGAGCTTAAATGATAGGTTTACTGTTGGGCCCACTATAGCTTGACATAGCTCTGTAAATATGAGCATGGTCACAACATTCTGAGATAGAGGCGAGAGAGAGAGCTGGCTCATGGATTTCAGGGACTGTGCTCAAAGAATGAACAATATCTCTATATTCCTCACTGCATAAAAGTAAATTTGTCCTTTATGATGGCCTCTACCTCTCTTAGGAATCATGAGGCTCGTTTCATATGAACATGAGACTTTAATTTTTCCACAGGATTCTGTCTCCTAATTTTCTAAAATTATAGCCAGGTAGCTGTGGCAGTTTGTCTGAGAATCCACAGCACAGAGCCAGGTCAGAGGGTCTCAGGAAGGGCAGTGATCTCTTCCTCAAATTAAAAAAAAAAGAAAATGCAGCAAGAATATTGCATTGCATCAAATGTAACATCATGTCTGGGTAAAAAATGACTACACATTGCTTAAATTCTTACTGGAAATGACTTAGGCATTTAGGATAATCTGTTCATTTTGTGAAAGGTACAGTGGGAAAATATTGAAAACTCAACTTCCTAAGGCATATTATTAAGATTACATTTTCTTTTTTTTAAAAAAAACATTAAGTTCTTAGACTTCAGTAGGTCATATTTTAGATCATTAAAAGAAGCTTATGTTAAAACACAGGAAGAGGAGTTTCATCCTGTCTACTTCATTTCTGACCTCTCTCTCATATATTGCTTGTGTCACTCATTTCAAACTCATTGCATATTCTCTTTTGTCAGTTATTGTTGTCTCATGTGTTTACTTTCTCTCCATAGTTAGATTATGACTTCTTAGCAAATAGACAGCATCTCACACTTTTATATTTTAAAAAAAGTCTACCATGCATTGAGAGAGTGGATGTAAAATTATTGCAAAGGATTAGTTAGTATGTAAACTGATGTTATTAGGATGTCTTGTCTAGATGTTACAGATTCCTTGAAATTCCTTGGCACTATCTAGCTCTGTTTGAGAGGAACTGACATCATAGATTTAATACCAGAATATTTTGTTGGGTAGGATAGAAGGAGGGTTATAAATTTTGGCTGAAAATATGAACAATTTAAAAATGGAAAAGATGCCTTGAAGATCTCACAAATGTAATATATTTTAGTCCTGTGATGATACATTCATTTTTTTTTCGTGATATCAACTAACTCTTTGGAAACAAATTTTTATTTTGAAATAGATTACCTCCCTCTTTTCATTATATTTCCCTAGAACCATGTCTCACAAGCATCATATTGTTATTGCTATTAAGTGTGTTCATTTTGTTTTATTTCTTTAAAATATTTTAGGTGAGAAAAGTTGGGTAGAAGAAACGTGTGAGAGCATTAATGAGCCACAGTGTCCAGCAGGGTAAGATGATATTCTGAGATACAAATTTTTTCTATTTAGAAATAATTTTTCTTTCCAAATTGAAAAGATAAAATAATTATTATTCATCGGTTCATTAAACATGAATTTCAGGCCTCATATTTGGCACTGGGCGTATAGAGATGGTATAAAGTGGTGTGATCCCCACTCTGGAATGTAGTGGAAAAAAGAGAAATCATGAATATGTAGTATTTAGTATTCGTGAGTGTTGGGTGGAAATATTTGTATCTTCCTTCTTAGAAGGAAGGGCGCCTTTACTTTCATATGGAATTTTGAGAGTTGAACTTGTAGCAAATTATTTTACAGCTTCTTCTTTGTATTTTTGCTTTTGGTTCCTTTATAAATTTGGGGGATAAGCAATATGTCTGTGAGAGGATGTTACATGATTTTTACAATTCATATTTGTTCTTTTTGTCCTTAGAGTATTTGGCACTTAGAGTATTTTATATTTACTAGGCCATCAAATAAAGGTTTTGTGGAATTCAGGGAATGGAAATTTTATAAAAGATGTTAGATACATTTAGCTTTGCTCCACTTGAGATCTACCCCATATAATTTGAGTTATTCATTTCTTTTTTTAAAATATATTTTTATTGATTTCAAAAAGTAAGGGAGAGGGAGAGAGAGAGAGATAGAAACATCAATGATGAGAGAGAATCATTCATCAGCTGTCTTCTGCATGCCCCACACTGGGGATCAAACCCACAACTCGGGCATGTGTCCTGACTGGGAATCAAACCATGACCTCCTGGTTCATAGGTCGATGCTCAACCACTGAGCCATGCCAGCTGGGCTTGAGTTATTAATTTCAAGAAATATATTTTTACCTCTTTGAAATGATAATTTTTCCAAACTATTAAAAATATTAGTTTATTTTTATATATATAATTTATTTTTGCTTTATAAAATATGTATTTCTTTCTTTGGGATGGGAGAATATATTTTGTTGTTTAAAACAATAGTAACAGCAATAGAAAAAGCTAAACTCCAACCAAAAAGTTCCAAAAGAAGAGACTTTTTTTAAAAGGACACTTCTCATGTACCTTAAGCTGCCTTTTAATTCCAAGATATACAGGAAATTTTTGACTTAGTGAATTTTCCTTTTTCCTTTTCTTCTAAACATTGATCATTATTTTTCAATTATAATGTTGAGGTTTTTTTAGTGGAAAAACGTACCTTCTTTCTTTACAAGAAGATCATAATTTAAAACACATTTTATTATACTGGAAATTGATTTGCCAGTATATTTACCTGGTGATTCAGGAAACTGTTTTTATGTTTGCTGTTGATTGAGTATAAATAACTTTATAAAGATACAGGCCATTGAGACTACATGCAGCTGATTCTGCAGAGTCACCCAACAGAGTGTGGTATAAACACTAGCTCCTGTAAATTATATAAATTATATACACATCTTTTCCTTTTTCTATTTGTGTTTGTATATGAGAGTAAGCTGGGGAGGAGATAGAGTTGAAAAAAGCAAGGCGAAGTAAACATTAGCTCTCAAAGTTTGAATTACTGAGTACATTTTCAGTGGAAAGTTTTTCCCATGGTTATCCAATGATATATAACTCTCCTGCCATCTACCAGATAGCATTAGAAGCTGCAGGATTTCTGAACCATGCCTGTTTTGGTGTAGTCACGTAACGGTTGTCCATAGTTGTTCTCTTTTCCTGAGTATATCATTGTATGTGTGTGGGTTTTTTTTTTTTTCCTTCTTTGCTTCCCTGTTTAGATTTTCACACCACAGACTGTGTGTGTGTGCTGTCATTGTTCATTCCTAGCTTTGGATCATTTCTTTGTTGTTTATATTTAAATGCAGTAAATACCTCTTAAACTTCTCTGTTAAATATTAATATCTTTTAAATATATTAAACCTAAAAACTAACTATTGTATATAACTTATGTGATATTAGGTGCCACTTATTAGATTTAAGTATAGACAATATAAGAAAGTGGTTTTTCAGGAAAAAAAATTAATGGAAATAAAAACATAATTTAGAAAATAATTTGTGTTAACATTTATTCTGATGCATATTGGGAAAATATTGCATTCTAGTAGCATTTGGTTAGCTTGTAGAATAGAAGAAACCATGAGTGATATTCTCTGTATGGTGACTCAATGGTATGAGTGCTTAATAAATACTGTTTGATAATAGATAGATAGATAATAAAATGTAAAAGCATGTATATGAATATAAATGCTTATAAAATATCCTTCATGAGGTTGCTAGCTGAGTGTGCTGGTTAACTCTAGATTACACACCAACCTCAGTGGAAAATCTTCATTGGATGTGTGTCTTCTTTCTTTAAACATGTTCTTTTTTCCTATTGCCCAGGTTTGAAACACCTCCTACCCTCTTATTTTCTTTGGATGGTTTCAGAGCAGAATATTTACACACCTGGGGTGGACTTCTTCCTGTTATTAGCAAACTAAGTGAGTAACTTCTGAATTTACTATTGGAGTATCACGATTTCAATGAGATAGTCAAGGGACACAGTCTTTTTTTGGAAAAGTACTGGCAGTTTGAACTTGACTGTTTCACTAAACTTCCCTGATATGGAGTGGTTGAACTTGATAATAAGGAACTAGTGTTTAATATTGTAATTACTCTAAAGTTGCCTTTTAAATACTGCTAAAATTTGTTTTTTATTTCATACTGGAAGAAAATAGTTTTTAGAAATATCATTTGACATAAAAATTCCTTAGTGAAGAGCCTGCATAGGCAAGGAAGGCCCTGTTCTCACCAGCCAGGACCATGGGCCTTCAAGCTTGCATCTGGCCCTTTGTTACTAGTGGGAGGAAGGTTTTTCTTGATGGCATCAAACATGGCACCCTGAGTTCAGAATTAAGTAGCTGTGGGTACTGATATGTGAAGTTTAAAAGATACCAATACGTAATTAGCCCATCTAGCTTGAAATAACTGGGGAATGTGGTCTGTCATTATGAAGTGTTTGGAAGGCAGTGAGATAGACACATGCCAATCTAAGGAACATTGTGAGGCAATGAGGTATTAAAATGCTAGAATCAATGAGGTATTAAAATGTTCCTTCCTCAGTAGCAGATGCAGAAGGAGCTGATTCAGGAACAATCTGACTTCTACTCTTTCTCTGACTTGAAAACAGAATATGCCTTTTTTTCTTTCAGCAGCATTGAGTTTGTCCAATGTGAGCTAGTTCTGAATCTATGGGTTGGGACATGGTCACCCCAGCTACCATTTCACCCTAGTTTTAATTTTACACAGATTTAGCTACTAGTTCAATTTTGTTGTTGTTGTTGCTATTGTCTTGTGTGTGTTTTTGAGTGTGTTTTTTGGACTACCTCTTGCAATTTAGGTATGTGACCACTAAATAGTCACAAAGACCTAGCAAGCATCATTATTATAAATGGTCCATCTGGAACTTAATGTTATTGATTAATATAGGATAATTACTTCATTGGCTTAATTATTTTGTTCAATATTTTTGACTAGGAGAAAAATTAACTCTATTTTAACATTGAATTTGAGTTAATAATTTTGCTTTATAATTCACGCTGAATTTGTATATGATTATAAACTCCTCATGGGTTAATGTTTTTATACGATTTATAGACTGCTGTGGTACCACAGCCAAATAAGGTAAACAGATTGTCAGTTGTATTTAATAACCATCTTTCATTTTTTTCCTTTGTAGAAAATTGTGGAACATATGCTAGAAACTTGAGACCAGTATATCCATCAAAAACTTTCCCCAATCACTACAGCATTGTCACGGTAAGCTCTGCATTTCAACTTTTATGTGTTCACAGACGTGAGATGTCAATGTAGCATTTTTTGAGAGATTAATTAGATATCAGATCAGAAACAAACAAACTTCTTTTCCAATGTATAGTTAAGCCAAGAAACCTAGATTCTGTGGGTCTTTGCTACTAACTAGTCCTGGCCTTGGGAAGGTCACTTTACCTTCTGAGTCTCATTTTTCTCACCTGAAAATAGGTGGCCAAAGACCTCAATAAATGCTTTCTTGGTTCCTTTTAGTTTTAAGATCTCTGATTCTTAGATCCTGTTTTTTTCTGACTAGTTTTGTAGCTTACTTTATTTAAGCCCCCAAACTATCTCACACTGGCGTGTTTGTAACTTATCTTTCCAATCATCTTTTTTAAAAAAATTGTTGACACTATTACAGATGTCTCCTATCCCCCCGACACACACTTTGCCTAATTCCACCCAGCCCCCGCCACCCCTCCCCTGGCCTTCACCACTCTGCTGTCTGTGTCCATGGCCAATCAATCATCTTGATGGATGAATTTGAGCAAATCACTCTGACTCACTTTGGATAGGATTACAGTCCTGTTTTTGTTTTAAAGTTTCCAGATTTAATTTGAATCCAGGAAAATAAAAAGTAGAATTCATTTGGCCTTGAAGCCAGAAAATTAATACTTTAGCTTGTATGGATCCCAACCAAAAAAAGTTTGTTCTGCAGAAATGCCTTTCTCAGCAATGCAAAAAGATAGCATAGTACTTTTTTTTTTTTTTCACAATTTGGGAGGCTGTCTATTTATATAGCCCCTCATTCGTAGCATTGCTAACTTATTACCTCCTTTTACATAATGAAAAACACAAATACTACATAACATTTTGAGTGGTTGGTTGTATTTTGATAAAACTTATTGTTTTGTTTTTCCCTCCTTAAACTGTGTTAAGTTTCTTATAGCTTCAGTAATCTCTTTTTCTTTGATGAAACTGTTCAGTGACTTTAACATTGAAACACTCATTACTTGCATAAAACCGGCATTTTATGTTTTTTAGGGTCTTTATCCAGAATCCCATGGCATAATTGACAATAAAATGTACGATCCAAAAATGAATGCTTCCTTTGCACTTAAAAGTAAAGAGAAATTTAATCCTGAGTGGTACAAAGGAGAACCGGTAAGTTGTTTGTTTTAGCGACTAAAGCCGTTTCTTTTGTTATTCTCATCTCTTACAATCAGAGTAAAATACCAGATTCCCTGGCGCTCTTAATAATCGGCTTAATTTACTATGTCTATGGCCATCCTTTTGTAGATGAATGCTGATAATCCTAAATGCAGTTTGGGTAATTGTATAATGAGAGTAGTAATTTATTTCAGAATTGGGCTCGGGTTATTCCAGGCCATTTTTCTTTCTGCTTGATTCTATCTTCTTGTATTAGTAGCATAGGGCAGTAGGTGAATGGGAGGTAATATTTTGATCTACACAAAGCTAATTATTTATGAAGGAGGTAAACTTTGACTTCTTTTGCATATGATAACTTAGAAGATTCTCTCTGATTGTGATTTAGATGTATCCTTTCTATTTTTTAAAATTGTTACAATATTTCTATGGGGTCTATTTGGATAGTCTTAGTAATCCTCTTGGAAAAAGAGCATGATGTGTAATTTATAGGTTATAAAATTCAAATTTTAGCGCTGATATTAAAGCTCTGTGACTTTGGGCAAATTATTTTTTCTGGGCCTTAGTTTTCTCATGTCTATACTGTAGATAATACTGTTAAGTAGCTTATCAGGTTTTTTGAGGGTTATTTAAATTAATAATCTAGGATACTTATTGGACTACGATTTAGAACTGTAATTGGCAATAATAAATGCTTTATAAATATTAGTTATATAAGTTAAAATGTTGATAAATTGGATATACATATTTGTGAATTTTTCTTTTTTTCAAGAGGAACCTGTTAAGTAGGGGTCAGGCTCTAAAAGTTGCAGTAGTTGCCAACTGACTTATGCCCATATTTTTTAGGTTAATTTAGTCTCTAATTATTTAATTTATTTTTGCTGCTGTTCAGAGTCATATTACATTATTATTTTAAAATCTAACTGCTGGATCTTATTAACCTTGAAAACATCCTAGCACTTGAGAAGAATGCATTGGTGTTACCTAAACACATGTTTTTTTAAGAAATCAATCTATGCCGAAACCGGTTTGGCTCGGTGGATAGAGTGTCGGCCTGCGGACTGAGGGGTCCCAGGTTCGATTCCGGTCAAGGGCATGTACCTGGGTTGTGGGCACATCCCCAGAAGGAGGTGTGCAGGAGGCAGCTGATCGATGTTTCTCTCTCATCGATGTTTCTAGCTCTCTATCTCTCTCCCTTCCTCTCTGTAAAAAATCAATAAAATATATTAAAAAAAAAGAAATCAATCTATACTAATAATCTATACTAATAAAAGGGTAATATGCTAATTAGATCGGATGTCCTTCCAGACAAAGCCATGGTGGCGGGGGCCCAGGCAGAGGTGGTTAGGGGCGATCAGGCTGGCAGGGGAGAGTGGTTAGGGGTGATCAGGCCGGCAGAGAAGAGTGGTTAGTGGCAATCAGGCCGGCAGGGGAGAGCAGTTAGGGGTGATCAGGCAGGCAGAATGGTTAGGGCCAATCAGGCAGGCAGGTAGGTGAGCAGGTAGGAGCCAGCGTCCCAGATTGTGAGAGGGTACAGGCCAGGCTGAGGCACCCCCTCCTCCGTGTACAAATTTCTTGCACTGGGCCTCTAGTATTTACATAGTCTCCTAACTTTTCTTTGTGATCTTTTCCAGATTTGGCTCACAGCGAAATATCAAGGCCTGAGGACTGCCACATATTTTTGGCCAGGCTCAGATGTGGAAATTAATGGAATTTTCCCAGATTTCTAGGACTATAACATAGAATCACTTTTAAAGTAAAGAAAAAAAGAAAGAAGAAAGAAAGAAAGAAAGAAAGAAAGAAAGAAAGGAAGAAAGAAAGAAAGAAAGAAAGAAAGAGAGAGAGAAAGGAAGAAAGAGAAATATTGATTTCAGAGAGGAAGGGAAAGGAGAAAGAGATAGAAACATCAGTGATGAAAGAGAATCATTTATTGGCTGCCTCCTGCACATTCCCTACAGGGGTCCAGGCATGTGCAATGACCGAAATTGAACCAATTGAACTGTGACCTCCTGGTTCATAGGTCAATGCTTAACCACTGAGCCACACCAGTCGGGCTTCTTTGGTGATCTTATGCCATTGTTAATTCTCTATGGTTCACTTGAGCATAGTGCAGTGCCTCTTCCCACCTTATTATTTACCACTAGAGGCCCCTTGCACAAAATTTGTGCATGGGGCAGGGGGCCCCTCAGCCCAGCCTGTGCCCTCTCGCAATCCAGGACCGCTGGCTCCTAACCACCCACCTTCTTGCTCCTAACTGCCCTCCTGCTTGCTCCTTACCACTTGGCTTGCCGCTCCTTAGTGCTGCTGCGGAGGCAAGAGAGGCCAGCTTCTGGCTGAGCGGCGCTCCTCTTGTGGGAGAGCACTGACCACCAGGGGGCAGCACCTGCACTGAGCGTCTGCCCCCTGGTGGTCAGTGCACGTCATAGCGACCGGTCGTTCTGGTCGTTCCGCTGTAAGGGTCACTGGGCTTTTATATAATAGAAGATTATTTTCATTCCATGGATGGTAATTGAGATTTTATTGCCATTCACTATACCAGGCATGGGGGATTCAAAGATTAGTGATATATGTTCTCCGGCTTCTCAAAGTCTAATAGAGAATACAACTCATGCAACTGTAATGGGTTTGGGCAAGCGCGCACTTTGGTGGAGTTTTGTAAACAAAATCCTGTGCCTGGAGGAAGGTGTCATTAATTCTGCTGAAGAAATGTTGCTTGGGGAACTAGCTGTTCATCAGCTGCCTACTTCCTTCTTTTACTGAGTCATCAATAAGTGAGTCTTCATGAGGTGCCTTTGAAGAGTGTACTGATACATGGGTTTTTCATATGGTAGCAATTGCTATTCTCAGGTATAGGAGAAATATCCTCAAGTGGAGTTTAGGAAGCATATTTTTAAGCCCAATGACAACTTTCATTTGTGAAAAACTTACCAGTTAACTGCCATGCGTCCAAAACGAAAACCAGCCCTAACCTGTTTGGCTCAGTGGATAAAGCATCGGCCTGTGGACTCAAGGGTCCCAGGTTCGATTCTGGTCAAGGGCATGTACCTTGGTTGCGGGCACATCCCCAGTAGGGGGTGTGCAAGAGGCAGCTGATTGATGTTTCTCTCTCATCGATATTTCTAACTCTCTATCCTTCTCCCTTCCTCTCTGTAAAAAATCAATAAAATATATTAGAAAAAAAAAAACCACCCCCACATGCCATGATATTTTGAATTTAATTTAAAAAATCAATTTGCAATGAACATTATAAAAATAAATATATTACTCACAATTCAGGTGTTCTTGAATATTTTCAGCTGAAAATTCTCACGAAAAATGATTTTAAAGTTGGTCAGGGCTGCCACTTAGGGCAAACATTTATTTTTTTATAGACATACATGGTGTGTGGGGAAGGTCCGGCGCCTGCATCTAAGACGCTTATGGCGTACAATGGGTTAACTTTCGTTCCTTTTTTGGGAAAACAAATTTAAGTTTCCAAATAAAACTCTTACATGGCTTCAGACACAATTGATGCATTAGATTGTTTTAATCTTTCTTAATGCAATTTTGTGAAGAAAAACATTTATATTTTAAACCTAAACAATGGTCCCAGATTTGTTTCATTTTGTTTATTCTTAATTTTAGTTCAGTACCATTTGAAGAAAGAATTTTAGGTGTTCTTAAATGGCTACAGCTTCCTAAAGATAAAAGGTATGTATTGTAAATACTCCTTTGTCTTATAGAAATTACACAATTATTTTAAAATAGACTGCAAGAAAACTTTGATATTGGCTATGAGGTTTGATATCCAAATGAATTCTTTGTTGAGCTATTACAGTCACATTTTGAAGAATTTGCAACCTGCAAATTATTTCCCAGCAAGTTTAGAAATGTTACCCCAGTGTTGTATAATTTTTGTTCACTGTCGATTGTTGAATTATTCTTTTCATTCTGTTGTACAATGTGTTCATAAAATATTACATTTTGATACTGTTTGATTTAGACCACACTTTTACACTCTGTATTTAGAAGAACCAGATTCTTCAGGTCATGCCTATGGACCAGTCAGCAGTGGAGTAAGTACCTCTTATCAGTGATTACTTCCTTAAACCTGGTAATGGGTAGCTGAACCTTGATTTGAAGTTGGTTTCTAGACTATTCTGTAAGATTCCATGCTTTCTGGAAAGAGTGAGTATTAAGCACAATTTTACTAAACCACAGAATGCACTTTAGTCAAAATAAGAGTTGGGCGGATTGTTGTGTTTTTTTTTTTTTATGTTCACAGTGCTAAATTGAACTGATGATGAATTAAATTCAATATTTTCAATTCCAAAGCCTTTATCCACTCCATATCCCCCTACGTTGGCCTAAAACTTTGTGCCCTTTAAACATTTTGTAAATGGGTAAGACTCCACTTTTCTAGGAAAATGTAGGGTGATATGTCAAATAGCAGAAGAAGCCTCCTATGGGCTCTCCACCTTAGGAAATATTTCTCTGACCATCTCAGACCATGCTTACAACAGAGCTGGGGCATCAAAGGAGTGGTGATTTTATCCAAAGTATAGAGAGCTTCAAATAATCATTGTTTCATTGAGTGGTTACTAGGAAGTGTGAGATAGGGAAACAGCTCACGGACTAAGGCTGTTCCCTATCTCTCTAATAAATGTAACATCTTATTTGAACTGATCTTAGGAACTTAGCCCACTCCTGGCTATGTTTGTAATTGGTGCAGTGCTTTAAAACCTCGAATACTGCTTTCAGTTTCTGGGTGGCCTTATCATTTTGTATCATGGAGCATAGGAAACATTTGAACCCAGGGAGGGAGAGCTAATCAGTTCAGCTAACACCATTCCCAAGATTTAGGATGAAGCATGTGTGGAATTTGGGCTCTTTCACTGGTAATTGTCAGCAGTTATTTTGCCCTTCCTGTGTTACCTGACTTGTCTGAGGCTAAATGTGAATCAGTTCATCATAGTATTTCCTTCCACCGAGCCAGCCCGCCCTCCCTCCATCCCTCCCTTCCCGTTTTTCTTTCAACAGAAATAGCTTTATATAGGAACAGCCATTAGTGTGGCATACATCATATAAGATTGGTTCTTTTTCTTAGGTCATCAAAGCATTGCAGAGGGTTGACAATATGGTCGGCATGCTGATGGATGGTCTAAAAGAGCTGAATTTGCATCGGTGCCTGAACCTCATCCTCATTTCAGATCATGGTATCTCAATTTTCATCATTTACCCTTCAAGTGCCCCCCCCCCAATTTACTTGATTGATCATTCTTTCATTATTTTATCTTATTGTTAGAGTTAATTCTTTTTTTAAAAACATAGTTTCATGTGGAAAGTCTTTAGGAAAAGATAATATTAAATATAAAGTACAAATTAAACAGAATTCACCGAAGTCTAAGAGCCTATCAATAAAAATACTTACACCCATGTTCTGATTTGGGGAAAACTTACACCAGGAATTTGAATAGTTAAAAAAATTATTTTACATTAAATTTTGGTAAATCTACTCTAACAATTTTGATTTAATTTGAACAGATTATTATGTACCTTTTCTATTTGTTTTAGCATAAGTCCGACTTTTAAAAAAATTTATCTTTATTGTTGAAATTATTACAGATGTGTTCCCCCCCTCCCCCGTTGACCCCCTTCACCCAGCAAAAAGTCTGACTTTGGAGGGAGTAAATATTAATTTTGGCACTATTTTAATTTCACTTTTACTCACTGTGATCTTTATAATGCATGTTTTTATATAGCCTTGGGACTATAGAAGTGGTGTGGATACAAGAAAATAGAATACAAGTTCTTTTTATTATTTTTTTCTTGTTGTTATTGTTGTTTGCTTCAGAAATAATTACTGAAAATTATTTCTAGAAACAGTCCTAAAAAGTCATATCCTAAGGAAACTCTAGGCCTGGAATGAGAATAAGAATTTTACACTCCCAGTTCATATTCTAGGTGATTTGGGGAAAATAATGAGGCTTTCATGTTTATTCTAAAAATGTGATATTCCCCCTCACTCATAAAGACATAAAGATATTATTTATATATATAAAAGCTTAAGTGACTATCTGACCGTTCAACCGGTAGCTATGATGCGCACTGACCACCAGGGGGCAGATGTTCAATGCAGGAGCTGCCAAGCTGTGATGATTTGGCAGCTGCGGTTCTCAGGTAACGCACCCAGAACCAGAGAGGAGGGAGGCCGATTCTGGATGCGTCACTCGAGAACCACCCTTTCACAATCCGGGGGATGTCGGAGAGCTGGTTTCAACCCAATCCCCTCAGGCCAGGCCAGGGGACCCGTGCACTGGGCCTCTAGTAGTACATAAATAAGAAGAAACATTAAACTAATTTTGGATAAAGGAAAGGGAAAAGATTTTTTAAAAAAGTAAAGTGGTAGATATAGCTAGGATTCTGTGTCTTACCTATTAGATATTTAACATGAATACTGAGCACGTGTTTATTGAATTAAATTCAAGAAGTGAAAGACATTTTGTTCTACATGTTAAATTTTTCATTCAAGTTGCAACATGTTTTGGATTTTTTTTTTTTTTTTACCTAGGCATGGAACAAGGCAGTTGTAAGAAATATGTATATCTGAATAAATATCTGGGGGATGTTAAAAATATTAAAGTTGTATATGGACCTGCAGCTCGACTGAGACCCTCTGATGTCCCAGATAAATACTATTCATGTAAGTATAGCTTTATGCTGACCTTGAATGTGCTGACCTTGAATATCTAGACTATATTCCTCTAAATCATGATATGTCTAAACTAAAGAGAATCAGTCCTAGCTAGTTTGGCTTAGTGGATAGAGTGTTGGCCTGCAGACCAAAGGGTCCTGGGTTCGATTCTGGTCAAGGGCATGTACCTTGGTTGCAGGCTTCTTCTGAACCCAGACCCTGGTCAGGGATTGTGCAGGAGGCAACCAAACAATGTGTTTCTCTCACGTCAATGTTTCTCTCTGTCTTTCCCTCTTTCTTTCACTCTCTCTAAAAATCAATGGAAAAATATCCTAGGGTAAGGATTAACAACAAATAAAAAGAGAATCAATTGAAGTTAATTTCCTTTTCATGATTAAATAATCTCCAGTGCAAATCTTCCCCTCAGGGGACTGGATGTGAGGTTAGGTCTGACCACCATAGTATTCATGAGCTTCGTACAATTTTATGTTGTATTGTGTGTTTTGTTTATATTAGGCTCAAAATTACTTGAACAAAAAAACTTAAGAGAAAAGTTTAGCTACATTTATTCAACTTTAATTAATGACATTCCATTAAAATAATTTACTCAGGTTATAGAATAATATTCTATTATGAGGAAGAATGCTGGCAGAGATGATTAATTCTATAAGCAATTGATTTCTGTCCTCAGAAATGACGTTCTTTTAAACCTATTAAAAAAGCAATAAGAGTGTATTTTGTAAACAGAGAAGAAATTTTACATTCTCTCTTGACCACCCAGACTACCAAGAAATATTTTTAAATGTTTATTCTTTTGCAAGTCAAGCCTATTTCATAATTGTTTGCACTTCTATTATACCCCTCTTTTTTCTTTGTTTGTTTGACAAGTTGTAAAATATTATTGTTATACATTGGAAAATTCACAATAGTAAGGCTATCAATTTTTTCTAAAATTAGAGGATATTTTCCTCAAGAATTTTTATGTATACCCCTCTTTTTGATTACTGTCTTGGTAACTTTCAGATACTTAGGGCCATTTTGTTTATCTTTTTGTTAGAATTAACTTCTAAAATGGAGGGGGAAGAAAGCTCTTCTGACAGTTATCAAAATTGGAACCACATGTACAATGATGGGATAAACATCAAATAGCCACTAACAAAAAATGAGTTAGGTTTGGGCACTGAGTGCTATATCTGCTAATAGATACTGTTGAATATTTATGATGAAAAAATAGATTTTGTCCCAGGAAAATGGTTATGTAAATGTATTAGCATAGTGACCCAAAGCATAGACTACATAGTGATCCAAAGCATAGACTCTATATGCATAACAAATTTTAATTAGTATTTTTTATTTATTGATTGGGGGCGGGGAGGGAGAGATAGAGAGAGAGGGAGAAACATCATTGTTGTTCCACTTATTTATGCATTCATTGGTTGATTCTTGTATGTGCGCTGACCAGGGATCAAACCGCAACCTTGGTGTATCAGGATGACACTCTAACCAACTAAGCTACCCGGCCAGGGCCCCTAATTAGTATTTTTTAAATGTATAAGAGTAACATACAATAGCTATAAAACCTCTTATAAAAACTGTAGAGGAATGGCAGTCCCAGAAATGTTTAGGATGGGATGGCTAAGCTTTAGCCACACTCTTAGCTCAGTTAGGCCCTCAAGTTTCCCAAATTAAAGCAAAAACTATACCTATACTTATCTATCTATATCTATATCTATATCTATATCTATATCTATATCTATATCTATATATGTATATATATATAAAAATATGTAATACATATATATATGTATTACATATTCTTTTATCTGGATAATTTTGTCAAAATTATGTAAAGTCTAACTAATTAGAAAGCTAGACTGGAATTAGGTAACTGTGGGCTTGCTATGCAAACACAATTCCAAAACTATTCTACTTATTCTTTTTTTCTGAGTTTCTCTCTATCCCTCTTATTTTGAAATTCTGGAATTATTAGTGACTATCAAAGTATATAAAACAAAAACTAACAGTTTCCCACCCTAAGCTCCCCTAATTTACAGCTCAGTTGCTCTCTTTAGAGATGAACACTGTTAAGTTTGGAATGTGTCTCCTCAGATATTTTCTATGAGTATATAAAACACATTCATTTTCATTTTTATTCAGTGAAATCATATTAGCTCTAGTAGATGGATGCATGAGTATTTGACTGCATGAACGGATAGATGGATGGATTAATGGGTGGGTAGACAGATGGATAGGCATTTGGATAGATGGTCAGGTGGAGACAATTGGATGGTTAGGTGGATGTTCTGTAACTTGCCTTTTCATTTGACCATGTGACATAATTTCATTGGCTTGGGTGGGGATTCCTAAACATCTATCTTATTTCTGTCAATGACTAATATATAATGATTTAAATGAGCTGTTAGAAATATTGGCCTTGAATCTGACAGTCTATATGTTTGTATTATTTTTATTTCTAATTGTAGCATACTACCAATAATTAATTTTTTATCTTTGTCCCCCTTCAGTTAATTATGAAGGCATTGTCAGAAATCTTTCTGTGAGTATCTTTATTGTTCTATTATCTAATTACTGTTAGTTTTGTATAATATATATTTATAAAACATTCAGTATTTGTTGTTGTGATTATAGAATTAGAATTTTTGAGTAACTGGGCCAACATTAAATGTATTGTAGATTTTAAAGATCTTTAAGGACATGTCCCAATAATTTAGATTTGAAAGTTTTAAGAATTTGTTTATTGACATTGTTAAATTTATGTGATAGTACAAGAAAAGCATAATTGAAAACAGTAGAAGGAAAAAAAACCTACAGCTGTACAACCATAAACACTGTTAGCACCACAATATATTTCTACCAGTCTTTTTTAATGCCTATTTTTGTAAGTTTTTGTCCTGGTGCTGAATTATCTAGACTATTTTATTTTACTTGATAAAAAATGTTCACTTTTTAAAAAAATTCCTTTAAAAATATTTTTATTGTTTTCAGAGAGGAAGGGAGAGGGAGAGAAAGATAGAAGAAACATCAATGATGAGAGAATCATTGATTGGCTGCCTCCTGCATGTCCCCTACTGGGGATCCAGCCGGAAACCTGGGCATGTGTCCTTGACTGGAATTGAACCCAGGACCCTTCAGTTTGCAGGCTGACACTCTATCTACTGAGCCAAATTGGTGGATAAAATTTTCTCTTTTGGAGAAAACTCTTACAATTGTAGTTATATGAGTGTTTGAAAATAGGATCATCAGCAGTAACTCAAATATAATCTTGTGACACAGTCTACGTATCCTGGGACATCTATGCAGTGATTATGGTTTCATGTAAAAATAAGAATATTTAATAGCTGGGAATATTTAACTTGTACATTATACAAATAGTATGAACTCATTTATTTTTCCACATATGACTTACTGGGCATGCTGGTAAAATATTTGTGAGGAAAAATTCATATGGAGTTAGAAAGCACTTTCAAAAGAAGTTTACACTTAAGAAAATCTGCAAATAATGTTTTTTCTTTGCCTTCTATGATTTTAGTGCCGGGAGCCAAACCAGCACTTCAAACCTTACCTAAAACAGTTCTTACCCAAGCGGTTGCATTTTGCCAAAAGTGACAGGATTGAGCCCTTGACATTCTATTTGGACCCTCAGTGGCAACTTGCATTGTAAGTTTGATAGCCTCCCAGGTAAACTTAGCCTGATCTATTAGTAATTCAATAGGAAAACTGCACAAATATGATTCTCTAGACTCTATTCTAGGGTTTCTCAACCTTGGCCTCTTGACATTTTAGATAAGATAATATTGTGGGGAGCTGTCTTGTGTATTGTGGGGTGTTTGCAAGCATTCCCAGCTTCTGCTCACTAGATGAAAAAGTTGTAACAACCCAGATTGTCACCACACAGGCCAAAAGTCCCCGAGCGAGGGAGGATCACCTACAGCTAAGAAGCACTGCTCTGTCCACTTACTCCACAGTGATTATTTCTTGTGCTCCAGATTTGTGTTGCCACTTGCCATTGTATCTCTTCTGCACATTACAGTTATGCCTAATAATGTCTTCAAAGTCCAGCAGATAATTGGCAAAAGCTCTTTACCTTATAATGACCAATTAGCTTCATCATTATACACAGTTATTTTTTCATTCTTGTTATACTAATCTATCAATAAATCTCATTTATTGGTGTGTTCAGCAAATTATTTGGACCATTAATATGGTTAACATCTCAAAATTTGATCATTAACTCTTTTGATGGTGCCAGAAAGCTAGGGTTGAGGAATTTAGTTAACAGAATTGCACTGTCTCTACTTTATGAGAGACCTGCGCTTGTAGTGTTTGGAAATATGAAAGACCAGATGGTTCTTACCCTCATGGGAGAATTAATATTTAGTGAACATCTATTATGCATCAAGCATTTCTTTAGGGTAAACCATTTAATTGTTATAAACAATCTAACATGACAAAAATTTTTTTTTTAATATTTTTTTATTTTTCGCTTAAAGTATTACAAAGGGCATTACATAAGTGTCCTTTTTTCCCCCCCCCGCCCTTGACACACCCCTACCCTCCCTTACCCCCCAGTGTCTTATGTAACATGACAAAATTGAAATCAAGAGAAGATTAGTAAATTTCCAGAGTCACAGCTAATTATCATAATCAAGGTTCAAAATCAGTTCTGTCTCAATGATAGTGGGTTTTTTTCCTCTATACCATATAGCTCATAGTTGATTTGTCTACAAAATAAAAGATAAAGGTGGCTTTTAATGCTTTTCAAAGCCAAGTGATTTTATTTACCTTTTCTTGGTTTGTTTAAAAAATAGTTACTTATTCTTTATTAATGAAAATAATGCCATGGTTATAAATTTTGCTTTGTGAATTGACTTTACATTATTAATTCATATTATGTGAAAATTAGGAATCCTTCAGAAAGGAAATATTGTGGAGATGGATTTCATGGCTCTGACAACCTATTTTCAAATATGCAAGTGAGTATACCTATTATATTTTTAAAAAATAATAGTTATATCTGAAGAAAAGCTTGTATATAAAGTTTTAGACTTAAAAACACTGACATTATATGTCTTGAATGAGAATACTGAAAAATATACTTTCATATAGCTATTTTTCTTTGGTATTAATTAAAGTAATAGATTTTTGTTAAAATTTATATTCATAGTTCATGAACGTGTGACATATACCTCCTACTAAATTTCCAATAATTATTTTATATATATTATGCTCCACTAACAATATTGCTCCACAGTAAATGAAAGACAATTTGTTAATATTTGAGAAGACATCATACTTATATTCTAAATGAAAATAATATCTTAAATTTACTTTGCACTTAAAATTTTTAAAAATATACTCACAATAATTATCTAATTTGATCCCTGCAACACTGTGTGAGATGGGCAGGGTGAGGTGTATATCCCATTTCATAGATAAAATTAGATTTCATTGTACTATTGTTCTGAATGTCAACTCAGGAATTACGGTGAAGTTAAGAAAACTATTCTAGATGTCCTTAGAATATCTGTGCAACAGGGGTTAAAAAAATTCCCACCAAGTTCATTGGGCATAGTATTTTTCCTCTTAACATAATCAGTTTATATATGTGCAATGTAAATAATATAAATTCACTTTAAAAATTTATAATTAATATTTTTCATTTACAGTTAACATTCAATATTACAATTAGTTTTAGGTGTTACAGCATAGCTGTTACACATTTATGTAACTTACTAAGTGATTCCCCAGTAAGTCTAGTACCCAACTGGCACCATACATAGTTATTATAATATTATTGACTATACTCTCTATACTGTACTTTACATTTGACCAACTATATTCATAACTGGAATTCATAAACTGCTACTTTCCTGGTCAATCTAGGCCCTCTTTATTGGCTATGGACCTGGACTCAAGCACGGTCTTGAAGTTGATTCCTTTGAAAATATTGAAGTCTATAACTTAATGTGTGGTAAGTGAACAGGCAGCTTTCATCCCTTCTGAAAACAGCTGAGATAGGATGATCAAAAATAAGTTACTTGATGGGCACTTTTGTGAAGATGATGATGAGGCAAGATAGACCCTCACATTTCTACCTTTTTCCTTCCTGACCCCAACTCATTGAAAAAATGTGCCCAACATACTATCTGATTCTTCCACTAAGCTGCACGTTGGTAAAGTACAATACCCAGAGTAGGGAGGTCTGTACATCCTCAGTGCTTGGTACTTTGCCAGGGCTCAATTATATGACCATTGAATCAGATCAGTGTGTGAACTGTGTCCAGCACGGCCAATGGTGAACTTGAGGAGGCATGGTGAAGGATTAAAAAAAACAGCCAAGAGAATACAGTTGGGGCTATGTGGGTCACTGTGCCTGGATGAGGAAACAGTGGCCCTGCCTGTAAGCAGGATCTTTATTTTATAGTCAGATCACACAAAGCAAAACAAGGGCAAGATGTTTACAGTGTTCTTGCGAGTTTCAAATCTGCTTCTTTCCTGTTGTTACCATTCTCTGAACTCTATCAAGCTTTGTTTTGGCAGCACTTGCTGCACCTCCCGCAGCCCACATCCCTCAGCTACCTAGGACTACAAGGTCGGACTATAAAGTCAAGCTTACAACCATAGCCTTTGGCTATAATTGTGCTGGGAGGGCTTTGCCCTCCAAGCTGGCCCCAACCAGGACTGGTCCGGGGATCAAACCTACAACTGAGGCACACTCCCTTGACCAGGAATTGAACCATAACCCTTTGGTCTTCGGACTGACACTCTAAACACTGAGCAAAACCGACCAGGGAATTCTGTGCCCAAAATAGTACTTTGTGGGTGGAATATTACATCTTAAATATTAAATCCTTTTTCTGATAATGATACTGGGCATTTACAAAGCCTTAAATATGTCCTAAGTATAATTCTTTCAATGGGAGCTGATTTACATAATGAATTACTAGATCTTAAAGCACTTAAAACAGTGCCTGGCATATAGTAAGTGCTTTATTATGTAAGTATGTGCTATTACTATTATTAAGAGCATGAATCTTAGACTTGGACAAAGCTAGTTTTGAATCCTAGGTCTATTATCTTAGTAGCTTTGAGACATTGAGCCGAAGGCTCTGATTACTCATCTGTCAAAATTGACAATAACTTATTAAATTGTTTGGAGGATTAAGTAAGAAAAATATCTTAGCACGGTGATTGGCATATAATAAGCATTCAACATATGCTAACTATAGTTATTACAAACATTAAAGTTCATAAAAATTCATAGAGAAGTACAGCATATACCTCAGTATTTCCATAAAGACTAGCATAGTTAAAAATACTCTAAATCCCAAGAGAGTTTTAGAGTTCTATTTCAGGTAAAGAATTAAGGATTCATATAAATATGGTTTTAAATAATATAAATCATAGTACAAGTCTATTTGATTTTGAAACTTTTAAGTAATCTTTACCATTCTTGGAATTATGCAGACTTACTGAATTTGACACCTGCTCCTAATAATGGAACTCATGGAAGTCTTAACCACCTTCTAAAGAATCCTGTTTACACCCCAAAGCATCCCAAAGAAGCCCGCCCCCCAGTGCAGTGCCCCTTCACAAGGACCCCCAGCGACAACCTTGGCTGCTCGTGTGATCCCTCAGTAAGTGTTGCTGGGAAGTTGCGCCCAGTGTGTATGTTTTCATAGCACTTTCTGCATAGCATGTGCTGTGGAAAGACTTAATGATCAAATTAAAATTTATGAGTGAGAGTAAAAATAATATTTATTTCTAATTCTAGTGACACATGCAGACTTTTTATTGTTTATTTTTCCTCTACCTTATTTTTGCCTCTATTTTTATCCCTGGGTGTTGTGACTTGACTTGCAGTTTGGGGGAAGTTTAGCTGAGTCCTGTTATCCCAGCAGTGAGGTCTTGATTATAAACCAGTCACCATATTCATTTTCTAAAGTACACCCCCACCTTATTTTAAATTTAGGGGGAAAATATATCTTTTTGGGGTACAAAATGGATATATGACACTGTTCCAGTTTTCTCCAACTTTTATAGTTGTCGTAAAAGGATGAAAATATGTGACAGGTTATGAGCAAAATTGATGAGATCCCTAAAGATGGAAATTTGGGGAGTAGTTGAATTTGTTCTTTCTATTTTGTTTTAGGCTTTTAGAAAGACTGAGGAGTAGGGCTAAGAATTTTAAAGTAGCAATTATATTCTCATCTTTCAATAGTAGTGTGCTTGTGCTAACAATTTTGTCTTTTTTCAACTGTCATCCTTATCCCTTTATCCTCAACATAAAAAAAAAATAATAATTTTGACTTGTACAAGATGGTTTTAAATTGTGTCTTTGTTCTACAATGGAATAATTAATCTATAGATGTTGTTTGTTACAAAATTAAAACATGTCTTTCATTCCTTAAAAGTAGTATTATTAACTCTATAGATGTTTCCAGTCATGGATTTTCAGACACAGTTGAATCTCACCATGGCAGAAGGTAAGGCATGTTTACTCTTCAACTTGGAATAGGGAAGCAGGCTTTTTCTCGGTGGTGTGAATCACAGAAAACTTGTTTGGTGGCAATTTTTAGAATAGTTAATAAAATAAAAGGAGTAGTGGAGGACCACCTGATATAAAACATAGAGATTTCTTTGCTTGACAGTCTAGATGGTTAATCATAAGGAAAGAAGGGATATTTATAGTGGAAACAGTATGCAGTATGTTTAGTGGAAACTGAATCACTCTTTATGAACATAGTAGAGATCTTTTGAGATTTTGAAGATTTTTATAAGTTTATAATAAATCTTCCAATTTCCACTTAAAATACATGTTAAATGTCTAGCTCACTGGGTTCTTAGTTAATTACAAGAGAGTATAAATTGAATCACTTATCTAAAGTTATTTCTTCATCACCTGTGAATGAAAATTAAGACTGCAGACATCTGATGAAATTTGTTAGTTCGACTTGGATGTTCAGTGACACTTCAATATACAGTGTCTGGTACATTTGACAGAGTCTCTAATAGATTAAATTACTTGTCTCACGTTATTTTCCTGCTGGAGTAAAAGGTGAACTCTGCACTGTTCTTTACTTGATCTTATCTGTATAAAATTCTATACATGTTCAGGTTAGAAAACCTTTGGTGATCCCAAGGTGTTAAAGTGTTGTGGCAAAGAATGACACTTTGGAATTTGGGTAGAACTGGGTTTGAATATGAGCTTAGAAACTATGTCCATGGAAACAAGTATTTACTTCCTACCAGCTGCTGTTTCCTCACCTGTAAAATGGTTATATAACCTTAATTTATAGGGCTATTTAATAATTAAATTAGATGGTGTCTACAAAGAACTCTACAAAGCACATGACACTTGGGGAAAGGGCAAGAAAACAGTCTATACTATTACTGATTCATTCAGCTTAGTCTCATAATTTCAGGTCTGCACTTTGGCTTTCCAAGTACACGCATTTTCTTTCTGGAGTCCATCCTGAACAAGAAGGAATTGCAATAATGTTAAAGAATTTTAGCAATGGAATTTCTAAATTGCTGAAATTTCTAGCAGTTTCATGTTTATTGTGATATCTTCATATTACATTGCTCTTTAGAATCTTCATGGACAAAAAGTGCGCTACTGAATCCCTTTTGTTTCCTTAATTGTTTATGGTGCTGCTCTTTGAATTTTTTTGTTTGTTAAAAACTATTGTTTCAGTATTTTAAGTAGGGGAAAGAATTAGATGAGTGTATCATATATATTATCATGTAATGCACTCTAAGTACATTGAAAAGGGGGTTTTGTCTTCCTCCTGTGACCCAAGAGAAGGTTATTAGGCGTGGCACTTTACCCTACGGAAGACCCAGAGTTCTCCAGAAGAGCGGCACTGTCTGTCTGCTCTACCAGCACCAGTTCGTGAGTGGTTACAGCCAAGACATCCAGATGCCCCTCTGGTCATCCTACACCGTGAACAGAAATGCAAGTATTTGCCACCTTTTTAGTTCTGTGTGGTTACTTCAAATTATCACTAAGCAAAACATTGAGAGCATTATTTATCACTGTTAATCTTGGCTCTGTAATCACTTCTCAAATTAGGTCACTGAACTGGGAGTCAGGAAAATTAGGTCTCAGCTCTGCCAGTAACTAGCTCGTGACATTGAGACTTGGAGAATATTTTGTTTTCTGTGAAACGAGGGATGTGCAGTAAAGGCTTCTCTCTGGCCTTTGGTTTAAATACTTTACGATTTTACTTTATAATTTTATGAAATCATTTTTACAATCAGTCACAATTATTCACCTCTAAATGCATAAGTATGTGGGTACACGGATTTCCCTCAACTGCTCAACTCTTAGCAGATTCTCACTGATGGAGAAGGCTCAGTCGCCTCCCTGCATGTACCATCCACCCACAGGAGGACCCCTGAACCAAACCAGGGAGAAGCTGGGGGTCCTGTTCACCCCCCAAACCAGAGGAGTCAGGCCTTGAGAGGAGTGAGGGAAAATGTCCCAGAATAAGACCACCATTCCTCCTCACTCCTGGGGGCTGTGGTGGAAAGAGAAATAATCAGAGATGGGCTTTGAAAGAGAGAACAAAGGGTGGAGATGAGATTTAGATCTTACTTGGGATGGAAGTTTTAAACTAGACTGACCAGCTTTTCAGAAACTGAAAGTATCTGGCAAGCTGTGCGATGTCCTTAAAAGATAGAGAGCTTAGATCAGTTGAACTTAAAAAATAAAACTATTGTTGATATCACTGAGATAGCTAAATAAAAATATAAGGGTGTGTGTATGTGTATATATATATATATATATATATATATATATATATATAATTTCTGTGTTTAAAAATATATAGTGCACACACATTCAGATATTTACATAACATTTCAACCTTAAACTTGAATTAAAAAAATATATATATTTTGAAGACTATATTCAAACACAGTAAACACTTTTCACATTTTTTTTTAAACTTGACTTTGTACTATGTAGCATTCTACACAGTTTTGTCGGTGCCCATCCATTTATTGTTGTTTAATACCTCAGCTATGGTGTTTTGGTTGTTTATTATCAGCTCTCTTATGTAACCAAAGCTGCAAAACTTCCGAGTCATCACTACTCCCAGGGTTTTCACAGCACATTGCTGTGCAGCGGCTTTTTTACACGCGCCCACCCCCAAACTCTTGGTTGTGTAACTGAGTATGGAAGGTAGTCTCAAATTTCTACAGATCAGCAATTCCCTATATAAAAGTTTGAAATCGAGTAAAAAAAAAACAAACACCTGTTTTCAGCAAAATTAGCACACCATAGTAGGAAACTATTTGCACATATATGACAAATGATTAATGTCCTTAATATTGTAAAGAGTGTGCACTTCAGATAGAAAAGAGATGAATACCATAGTAGGAAATGGAAAACTGATAAAGGACATGAACAGACAGCAAGAACTCCGTAATTTTATGATGCAGTTCACCTTTAGCTACTTACAAAGTCATCTCCTTCCTTTTACATACCTGATACCTGATGGTGCTTTTCATTTTGATCTTCAGGACAGTTTCTCTACAGAAGACTTTTCCAACTGCCTTTATGAGGATCTTCGAATTTCCCTTAGTCCTGTCCATAAATGTTCATTTTATAAAAATAATGCTAAAATGAGTTATGGGTTCCTCTCTCCGCCACGTAAGTTTCTTCTTCCCTGACCTCCTCTTCCCCCATCCTCTTTCTCTCTTCCTTTCCTTTCTTGTGGGACAATGTACATCATCATATTTACTGATTGATGAAAATTGTGAGTGAGAAATACAACTACTAGGGAAAATTTTAAAACTAGGTCTCAAATGTAAAATTTAGAAAACTTTATTTTTGATCGAAAGGGTAGTTGATTCAGTACAGATATTGTAGGTGAGGCACTCTTCACTTTTCTGCATTTCTTCTAACCAGAATTTGAGAAATCTCAGTGAGGTCAGAAAAATGCATCTGATTTTTTTAGAAGGAGATATCATTTTGTTGTTTGAAAGCAAAAATCTAATTTGTCAAAGAATTAGGTAAAGGTAGAGCCTAAATGCTCTTGCTCTCTCACCAATACATAGCCCCTAGTGAGTGGCTTTTTTCTTTCTAAGTTAAATGTTCTGTTTTTAAAAGTGGCAGATTTGTATGTGAATGAGAACACATTTTGAGGCAGCCCTAAAGAGGCACAAATCAGAAGGCTCTCGGTGCTCAAATACCCTTAATAGCCAGTCCAGTCCCTGGAGTAAGTGTCTGAAGTCAGAACCTGGCCATTGCATTATAAAAATAGACCAGGTCCCAGCTGAAAATCCATACAAAGAAGCCTTGTACAGCTTTTCCAGGCAGACATCCTGTGATGTTTTTTTCTGGTAGTAGGTGTTGTTCTGAAGCCAGATATTGTGTTTTTTCTTTTCACCGTGAAAGAGTTTAAGGACAGAAGATTGTCAACACAATATGCTTTAGTTGAAATAAGACAAATAAGGTAAAATATGAAAATGTTTAATTTGGGGCCCTTCTTATTAAAGTTTTTGTAAAGTTTTTTCTTTGAAGAAGAACATATCTGAATATTTTTATTTTGTTGAGGGACTTGACCAAATGCATTGAATTTCTCCCTTGAACCAGTACCTGAGAAAGTTTTATAGGTTTGGGATAATACTCAGCTTATTTTTTTAAATACATCCTATGAGAAAGTATAATTTCCAATGTTATTTGTGAAAAATGAAATAGTTGTTCTTTTTATTCTCTTTGTAGAACTAAACAAAGGTTCAAATAAAATATATTCTGAAGCATTGCTTACCACTAACATAGTACCAATGTACCCAAGTTTTCAAGGTAAAAATTTTTAACTCTACATTTCATAATTTCAATGGATTTCTGTGTTTATATATAATAGCTATAATTTATGTGATAAGACCTGCTCTAAATGAAATCTCTGAATATCAAATACATTCTTATTGGTTTGTTTGATATTGAGAATTCCAGTATACAAAAAATTTTACCAGTATTAGAATTATGGTATATCCCAATATAATTATTCTGCTCTCTCCTTAAATGTTTATAAACGTTTTTGGTGATAAAAAGTATGTAATGTTTTTTTCTAAGTTACCAAGCTAACATTGTCTATTAACTTTCAGTCTGTGTTACTATTTGGAAGTTCCTGATAATTTTTTTTTAAATCTTGAAATGAATAGATTTTATATCGTGATTGATTACTGCAGCATTTGACTCTTACAAGAATAAATGTACTTCAAGTGACATAGGGAATTCAAAATATAGAGCATACAAATAGATTTTTATTCTAGTTTACATCTAGAATACTTGTGAATATTTCAAAGGGAATATTCAGATATTGAGAATAAATCTGAATGACCGTCTTGTTCCTGTTGGTCATTTCTTTTTAATGCTTAGTGATGACATGTGACCACAAGTTCATGATGCTGCCCAGGTCCAGGGAAGGCAGAAATAGAGTTGAATATAACATTTGTGTATTAGTCTTTCCCAAAGGCCAAAGGTGAACAGTGAATTTTTGGCCTCACACTAAGACTGGAGCCAAACTTGACTTTTATCTCTAATTACTACAAATGCTAGTTTTGAGTCATGGTGTTGGATTTATCTTACATGACAGCACGATTCCTTGTTTTTTTGAAACTGCACTGTCCTTCTTGTTTCAGCGATATGGCGCTACTTTCATGGCACCCTACTGCCAAGGTATGCTGAAGAAAGAAACGGCGTCAATGTTGTCAGTGGCCCTGTGTTTGACTCTGACTACGATGGACATTATGATGCCTCAGAGACTCTGAAACAGTAAGAACATATTTCATTAACTCTGAACAATAGCTATCGAGTGGAATTACCTTCTGGATGAGTCAGCAGAACCTTTACGATTCAGATTTATGTTTGTGACATGTCTGATTACACTGACAGCCCTTGAAATATCTGATTAGTTTTACTGTTTGCTCAGTGTTCAGTAAAACATTTAAAAAATATTTTTACTGCCCTGACCGGTTTGGCTCAGTGGATAGAGCGTCGGCCTGCGGACTGAAGGGTCTCGGGTTCGATTCCGGCTGGGGGCATGTACCTTGGTTGCAGGCACATCCCTGGTCGGGAGTATACGGGAGGCAGCTGATTGATGTTTCTAGCTCTCTATCCTCCTCCCTTCCTCTCTGTAAAAAAATCAATAAAGTATATTTAAAAAATATATATTTTTACTGATTTCAGAGAGGAAAGGAGAGAGAGAGATAGAAACATCAATGATGAGAGAGAATCATTGATTGGCTGCCTCCTGCGCTACCTGTACTGGGAATGGAGCCCGCAACCCGGGCATGTTCCCTGTCCGAGAATCAAATCTTGATTTCCTGGCACATGCTGATGCTCAACCACTGAGTCACGCTGGTTCCGGGCAGTGAAACATTTTTTAGCTGGAAGAAGTAGTGTTCCTCCACCACTTAGCTCAGATGAGTAATTCTTGAGCTCAGATTCAATACTAAGAAGAGAACATCAGTGTTTAAAATCTCTATGTGTAGCTGGGATATTATCTTAATGAACATACTTCCAGTTAGAAGATAAAGAACCATATGGGGCAGAGGCATCCTGAGTCTAGGAATCACCAGGGTAATAAAGCTGTAGGCCGGAGTGAATGTCATAACTTTTACCCAACTCTGGCTGGAGGGGAATGATAGAGTGATCATCTTGAGGAAACATCATTGGGGCTGTTTCTATAGAGGAGAGGTGGAGAACATTTTAGAGATGGGTTGGTCTTTATTAAAACAGTAACTCGAAGATTTTTTGGAGTAATTTTGCTATTAAGGCTCTGAGAAAAAGGGACTGAACCCTCTGCTGAGCTTGAGGTCCTTTCTGAGACTGTCTCTTGCAGGCTGATTTAGGGATTACTGTTTACACACTTATTAATTTATGAAATCACAATTTCTTACTAATATCCCTTGAGGCATCAAGGTCCCCTGTAAGTGCCTCATAAGTCACAGCAATAAAATGGGTAAAGATAACAATTTCATACCTTTCCCATTCACAGCTTTAACCAGAGCTCTCTGGTTTATTTATTTATTTAATATCTTTTTCTTGATTTCAGAGAGGAAGGGAGAGGGAGAGAGCAATAGAAACATCAGTGATGAGAGAGAATCATTGATTGGCTGCCTCCTGCATGTCCCCTACTGGGGATGGAGCCTGCAACCTAGGAATGTGCCCTGACTGGGAATTGAATGGTGACCTCCTAGTTCTTAGGTCGAAGCTCAACCACTGAGCCACGCCAGTTGGGCCAGGGCTCTCTGGTTTAATGTGTTTTATATATTATGGTTCTACATAAGATTGTATTTGAAAACAATGATACCACTACCTTAAATTTTGAAAGATACTGGAAAAACAAAACAAAACTAACCTAGTTTTCAGACCAAAGGAAACAGAATTAAGATGAGGCAAAGGTGTAACTTGGGATATCTTTGAGAATATGCTGCTATGAAAAAATATAAAGGTATTGGTACAGAAAAGAAAATCCAGTTAAAACAGAATTCACAGCAACGTGGCTTCTCTGCAGGAGCCAGAATTTAAAAATCTCAACCCTGTTCTCTCTCTGTCCACTGTCTGTCCACAACTACACAGAGTTTAAAAGACTATTGCTTTAGTATCTTAGTTGTAGGTATTAAAAAATATTTATGTCTCAATTCCAGTGTGTTACAGTAGAATTTCTAACATTCCAAATTCAATAAATTTCTATAGAAAATAAAAATTATTTGGGTTGAGTTTATCTGACTGTCTTCTAGTTCTCACTCTCTCAACCTGGCAGAATAGGCTGAAGTGTTATGATGACTGACTTCTTATAATATACTTACTTATTTGACTGAATTTGATTTTTAGAAATATTGTATGAAAAAATGCTTTACTGAAATATTCGTTACAAGGAAGATCGTTATTTCTTTCTGAAAGTGAATATTGTCTTGTTTTACAGAAACAGCAGACTCATCCGTAATCAAGAAGTTCTGATTCCAACCCACTTTTTCATTGTGCTAACAAGTTGTAAAAATACATCCCAGACTCCCTCACAGTGTGAAAATTTAGATACATTAGCTTTCATTTTGCCTCACAGGACTGATAACAGTGAGAGCTGTGTGGTAAGTAGCCTTTGTTAATTTACTTTAAACATTGAAAATATATCCGTGTGTGTCTTATATCTAACATTATTGTGGGAGAGAACGTAACTTGAATATACTTTGAAATTATAGGATGATTTTAAATTTGATCCTATAAACAGACATATCTTCAGAGAGACCTGGTTAGACAACATTTCAAATTAATTTTCTATATATCACTTTATTATAAAAATCATGTTTGTTCCTAATTATCTTTTCTTATTCTGTTGTCATTCAAATGTTTAGAAATAATTGTTTTATGTTCTTTTATTTGCTCAGAATTTAAAAAATCTAAACTGTAGTGTTTGAGCATCAAGATTGCATTAAAATTTTAGCAATTTTGAAGCTTTTCCTTATGGTGAGTCAAAATGTTTTTTTCAGAGTACTTCTAAGATATCCTAGTTGGTTTTTTCTTTTCTTTCTTTTTTTCTTCTTCTTCTTTTTTTCTTCTTTTCCATTGAAGTTATACAAAGTAAGTCTAGACCTAAATTGGCAAATATATTTGGCTTTTCTACCAGTCTCAATGGATTGGTTTTGACATGTAGAGTCCTATGGTCAAAAGGATCTCAAGGCCCAGTCTGAGCTTGGCTGGAGAGAGTGCTGTGTTACTCATTCATTTACCCCTTTCACTCATTCTTTTAAGCCTTCTTTGGTCCAGTTATTCTTTCCTTTAATAAGTACTTGTTGCCAGGTACTCTAGGAACTGAGGACATAGCAGTGAACAAAACAGATAATGCTCTGTGGTGGGCCCATGAGTAGAGTACAGTGGCCCATTTGCCATCCCTGACCTAGTGGTCTTTCTCTATATCATTCATTAAAATGAATGAGGATATGTCTCGCTTTAATTGTTTCTCTGATAAACTTTCAGAACCAATTGACCAGTCATTTTAGAACACATTTCTCATTAAGTTATCTTTTCCCCTTATTCTTCAGAATTAAGTATGGAATAATAAGATGCTAGCTATTTGGATGTATGTTGGGCATCTAACACTGCTAACTGGTCAGTGTTGTGGCTGCTGTTGGACACATACCAAATATTTCCTTGTTCATTGCTTTCTCTTCCTTGAGAGATTAAATAGTCATTAATGTATCAGTTAGTATTGTGTTCTGCAACAAATAACAGAGAACCTAGTTATAGTGACTGAGCAAATACAAGGTTCCTCATATTATAGAAAGTCCAGAGGTAGACAGTCTTGGGACAGTGCACTGATCAGCTTCACCATTAGGGACCCAGACCTTCCTGTCTTTCTGTGCCACTGTTCTTAGCATGTGGTCCGTGTGGGCTAAAGATGGTTTCTACTTCTCTAGGTGTTGTGTCTGAATGCTGGACCCTACATCAAAAAAAAAAAAAAAGTCATCAACAGACTTATGCTTACATCACATTGACCAAAATGATGTTAAATGCCATGAGTTAGGTGTTGAGTTCCTTTTCCATTTCTACTTTTCCAAAAGCTATTGTACCGATATCTTAAACATAAACAAGTAGTGACTAAGGCTTGGCTGGATATTGGCCTAGCAGAACAGATGCCTTATGTGTACTTTTTATATATTCCTGTAAACATTGGAACAGATGGAAAATATCTACTGGCCAAGCAGTCTACTGAGTCAGGGCTGTTACCTTGAGAGCCAGAAGGAAGACATTTGCAGAGAAGCAGGCTGAGCAGTATTAAGTAGTGGATGATTGGAGGCTAATGAGAAAATGGAAATGATTAGCCTATTTCCCTTTTATGTGAAAAGTCTATATTTATCATCTATTATAATAAAAGCGTAATATGCTAATTTGACCAGACAGCCAAACGACCTTCCAGACATCATTCTGGATGTCCTTCCAGACAAAGCCGTGGTGGCGGGGGCCGAGGCAGAGGCAATTAGGGGCGATCAGGCAGGATGCAGAGTGGTTAGGGGCAATCAGGCAGGCAGGGGAGTAGTTACGGGTGATCAGGCAGGCAGGTGAGTGGTTAGGGGCGATCAGGCAGGCAGGCAGATTGGTTAGGGGCAATCAGGCAGGCAGACAGGCAAGCAGTTAGGAGCCAGCGGTCCCAGATTGTGAGAGGGTCCAGGCTGGACTGAGGGACACCCCTCCCAGTGCAAGAATTTCATGCACCAGGCCTCTAGTTTTCAATAATAATGTCCTAAGGGTATGTGAACCTTATTGAGGGATGGCTTTAAAGTACACTCATAGCCCACCAATCCATGGATACTTTGTTCATCTGACCTTCTCTGAAAGCTTTTTTCAGAAAAATTTACATTAATACATAGATGTGCAGTTGCCACCTCTATTACCTGCTTCAGCTACCAGCTCTGCCTGCTTCCATGTGCCAGAGCAGATCATATGTCTTTAATTCTTTACTGACCTCATAGCAGCTGAGACTTTACTACCTCACCAGAAACGATTGTGTTTTACCACTTCCCTCAACCTTTTCTTCATTGCAAATATGTACATAACTGATTCTGATAAGAACTAGTGTTTGTATTGTGCATTTGCACACATCATTGCATTGGATCCTCAAAACAACCCTCTAAGAAAGATGCAAGGTAAGAGAATCAGGATTCAGATGTTAAATAACTTGCCTTAGTTTATCTGATAAGGTGATGGTAGAACCAAAATTTGAATCCAAGTTTCTTTATGCTAATTCCCACATTCTTTCTACCGTCCCATGTTGCTTCTGTTTTCCAACATTTTTTAACCCTACACCATTGAAATTTCTTGCACCAATGCAATAAATGAGCATCTAATCCAGGTATACTTGTCTTTTCCAAAAATTGATACATCTGATTAAACAAACATGCATCCTATATATTAAATGGTAAATTACTCAAGAGCAGGGATTATGTTTAACAAATCTTGTGGCATCTGCTATTTGGGAGCCAAAGTGTCAAAGCTGATTACAATGGGGGACATGGAAGGCTGGTAGGGAAAGTGAACTAACTGTTTTCCAGTGACTTTTCTTCTTTATTTTCTACCCTCACAGCACGGGAAGCATGAATCCTCATGGGTGGAAGAGTTGTTGAAATTACATAGAGCTCGGATCACAGATGTTGAACACATCACTGGACTCAGCTTCTATCAAGAAAGAAAAGAGCCAATTTCAGACATTTTAAAGTTGAAAACACATTTGCTAACTTTTAACCAAGAAGACTGATACATATTTTTTTATTCCAAAAACAGACCATAAATTTTTTTGAAAGAACCTTCTGTTTGACACAGTCCTCTGTTCACACGATTGCATTGTTTGGAAACTGTCGACCACAGTTAGAACTGGGACTCCTCTGTGATACGACCATCTCAGGGAAACGCGTGGCCTCGGCATAGCAGTAGGAAAGTGTTCCTATTGAGTCTCGCACATGTTTGAATGTGTAACAGTTCAAATTTGGGAATAAAGACAGACCAAACCTAAAACTGCTCTTCTACTTCTCTAAAAGGCAGAAGTAGCCTGTGAACATTGTCTGGATACCAGATATTCGACTCTTATTATCATGAATAAACTTTTATGGAGCTGGCAACAGCAGGAGTATGAATAGGATTGGACTAATCCATGTTACATTCGTATCTTCACAAGATTTTAAAAACGATTCATGATGTTTTTTAAAAAGTGATTTTGAAATTTCATTTATTTTAGTTTTAATAAAAAAATTAATGGAAACAAAATTTTTCTGAGGTTCTCAAAAGGCAAAATATGTAATCCTCTGTTGTTGTTTTTTTTAAAATTATGATTGGGCTTCTCCAGGTTAAAAGGCTTTAACAAGTTAAACTTTGAGGAAGATCTGTGAATTGAGTACATCAATCTTTATAAATTTTACTCTATATTTGTACCAAAAAAGAAAAATATTCCCATCCTGCTCACTGGTTATTAACATAGGTTAAAAACAGCTCTAAAAGTGATGTGTTTAGACTGTTAAAAATGTCTTCTCTTGGTGAAACTTCAGAGAACCTGTCAGCACATGCAAGGTGGCATTTGTCATCGAGATGGTAGGAATGTTTTCCTCTGTACATAAATATGACTCCACCAACAGCAGAGCTATACTGCACTGAGCTGTTTATTTGAAGTTCCATAGATTTGAAGAGAACACGGTACCATCACTTCCTATCTCCGTGGTGGTCACAATAAATGAACTTGATTTATCCACTGCATAGACTACATCCTTTAGTGCCAACCTGTGTACCTTCGAAGGCTACATTCACTTTTAGGTTCCCTGAGTTTAGGTGTTCTATTAGTGCACCAAAGATTTGCATTTGTCCTTCAGATGATATTTATTCTTCAACAGCCTCGGGGCCACAGAGGCCTTTAGATAATACAATTTGTATCTGAAAATTATTTAATAATTTAGAAAGTTTCATGAGTTTTTGTTTTAACCCCACAGATCTCTGATGCTCAGTACATTATTTTTTATTTTAAAAAATTTTATTTTTTTTCTATTGTTCAAATTGGGTAATTTTTATTGTTCTATCTTTAAGTTCATTGATCCTTTTCTCTGTCTAATCCATTATGCTGTTGAGCTCATCTTTTAAAAATATATTTCAGTTATATTATTATTATTTCTAAAATTTTTATTTGGTTCTTCTTTGTATCTTTTATTTCTTTGCTGAGACTTTGTATTTTTTCATTTGTTTCAAGAATGTTTGTAATTGCTCATTGAAGCATTTTTATAAAGGCTGCTATGAAATCCTTGTCAGATAATCCTGACATCTCTGTCACCTTTATGTTGGCATCTATTGTCTTTTTTTCATTCAAAATGGTTGTCCTGTTTTTCAGTGCAATATTGATTTTCAATTGAAATCTGGATATTTTAGGTATTATGTTATATGACTATGGACTTTCTTTAAACCTGTTTGAGCTGAGTTTCTCTAATACCCTAGCAGGGAAATTGGGGTCACTGCCTCATTATTGATAGGTGTGTTCCCTCTTCAGTTTCCATTGATATTTGGGGTGAGTGGGCACCCTTGTTGCTACTGGACATGGTGGGACTTAAGCTCCCTGCTTGACCTCCATTGATGCCTCCCTGGCTGGGATGTGCAGGGTGCCCCCATGTGGTCTCTCCACTGACACTGTGGGCTGGGTTGGCAGGGGAAGCTTTATTACCACCAGGTGGGAAGGAAATCACCAGTTCCCTACTCAGTCTCCTCTATCGTGACCATGCAGGAGAGTTGGGGCACCTATTCGCAGCCTGAGGGGGTGGAAATCTAGGCTCCCCATTCTGTCTTTGCTGGCCTGAGTGGGGTCATGACCTTTTCTGTGGTGTTTGGCTGAAGGGGGAGCAGTTATTGTTTTTTCTCTTGCTAGGCTTCTCTTCTTCTGCTCCTTTGGCTAGAGAGAGAGCATGGACTATTTTAAGGGCATCTTTTTTCTGTACTCAGCTTTTCCAGGTTGCTGACTTAGTCACTTCCATGTCTGGAATATGTGAGCTAACAAGAAAACTCAGAAACTCATCACAGTTTTGTTCCTTGAGTCCCAAGTACTCTGTCTATCTTCTCTCTGCCTTTCAGAATCTTCCTGTTTTATATATAATAACCAAGCTTTTTATCTATACTTAGCAGAAGGATATCTACTTCTTCATAGAAGTGTCTCATTGATCTTTATTCTTCAAAATACATGCAGGCTCATGATTTCCTCTACGTGAAACATCTTAGCAGATCTTAATGAAATAGACAGATGTCTCTCACCTTGCCAGACAGCAGAATCCAAAGAAAAGTTACAATCCTTAGCATCGTGGAGAGAGAGAAGAGGCAGCAAAAGTGTAAATGACGCCTAAAAAGTGGTAAATGTTATAATGGAGCTAGGGGAGAGGTGCCAGGGAGCACAAAGGAAGCAGTAGGTGCTGCTTGGCAGTATCAGGGGGGCTTCCCAGAGGTGGTGACATTGGGGCTGGGACTTGAAGGATGAACTGAAGCTCTTTGAGTGAATGGATGAAAAATAGACATTGTAGCCTCCCTTGGATGGATATATTTTTGCCATTTTGCCATTTACCGCTATTGCTAGTATTTTTTAGAAGTATCACTGTGACCAACTTATACAACTATTTTATTTTTCTTGCTTTGTTATAATAATCTCCTGTTCTTAAAGGAAATGTCAGACTATAAATTCTGTGCTGACTCATTAAAGGAAACAGCATCCATATCTTTTTCTACTTAGCTTCCCCACCCCCCAGTTGCTCTTATAGAGTATTCCTTTTTTCCTTGTGTCTCTTGAAAGAGATCCCTCCTTTCACTATTTCATCAATTTAAAGCATGTAACTAGTTACCACTTTCCCAATTTGAATGGTGAATTCATATGACCATATATGGAAACACTTCTACTTCAACAAAGGCTATTCGTTGCTTCTCAAATGCTAAGCAAAAATTTTATTCCTAATTTTACTGCCATGCCTCTGGTCAGTATTTCTTGAAATGAGGTAACTTCCATATAACATCGCATAGCTAGTCAATTTATACACAGCAGGCAAACAACCAGGTGGAACTTAACAATATGCTAAAATATCAGAGGAAAGAGGGCAGATCTTAGGGGAAGAAGTGGAATGTTCAGGGTCCAGTGGGGTAAGTAGATAAGAGGGCTATTAGGCCAGTTGGCCTGGTCCTGTTTAAGGAGATAAGACAGATAGGGAAGGAGCTGAACCGCCTTCTCCTACAGGAGAGGCTCTTACCCTCTGGGACATCTTTCTCTCATTTGTTACAATAACTGTCCTGCCCTGTCCTGTGGGTACGTGCTTATCTATAACAGAACATGGCATTTGAACTTTGAAACTAAATATGATTACACTTCATGCTGAAGCCTATCACAGGAATTGGTGGGTGGGCACTCTCATGAGCATTAAGTAAAATTTTATGGCTACAGTCTAAGGACATTCTCCCTGGATTTTTTGGCCAGTCCATATTGTAGGGTAGAAAAAATAATCTACAGAATATAAGAGTCTCTAAGCTAAGAAATGTGGATGTACCAATAAAAGTTGTATATACAGAAGCTTGGCTGCTTTCCTGTGTGGAGTGTGTGTGTGTGTGTGTGTGTGTGTGTGTTTAGAGGGTGGGGGCAGGGCATGGGTGGTGGTGTTTATCCGGGGCAAGGGTTGTAGACAATAAACCACATCTATATTGTTGGAAGGAGAAAAAAGATCCAAAGTTCACTCTAGGCACACAGAGTAAACATCCTTTTCTGATCTGTGACCTATATTCTTGTTTTGGGTATTTTAATTACATTTAATCATACTTCCAGGTAAAAGCAAGAAACAGGCATATATAAATATCCTTCCAGTATTTAGAATGGTTTGGAACCAGAGGGAAAGTTTCCAACTTGTGACTTCCATATATTTTTTTCAACATGAAATTTTTGCATCTATTCTCTCCATTGTACATAAATAGTGATTGGAGAAAAAATAAAGATGTTTACTAGAAATCATATGCATACCAGAAACCATAGATGCAGTAAAGTATGTTTTAGCCTACTAGAAATAAAAATAATCTCTGGAATAGGTTGTGTATCTATGGGATGCCAAAAAGAAACAACAACATAAAAAAAGTCCTATTCCACCAGAGGAGATTTTATTTTATTTTAAATATATTTTTATTGCTTTCAGAGAGGAAGGGAGAGAGGGAGAGAAAGAAACATCAATGATGAGGTTCATTGAGTGGCTGCCTCCTGCACACCCCCCATCAGGGACCTAGCCCGCAACCCAGGCATGTGCCCTTGATCAGAATCGAACCTGGGACCCTTTAGTTCACAGGTCAATGCTCTATCCACTGAGCCAAACTGGCTAGGGCCATCAGAGGCTATTTTAAATTTAAGTTCATATTTGCTCATTGTGGATGGAAAGGGATATATACAAGTTTGGTGACCAAAAATAATCTTACGCAATGATCTGATCATAACCTTGTATTGGGCAGGTAATGGTGGGTAGTCACACCTCAGGCATATAACTTGTATAATAAATGTTTTTTAAGCAAGCCCTTTTCATTTTCCTTGTGCTTATGGGTTAACACTTTTAAATGCCAGAAGCAGTCCTCTTTTCTAGACCCCTTGAAGGTGTAACCACCCTCAAAAGAGGACATAATCTTGTTAACTTCTTTAGTGAAACATTTTAAACTAGCCCTATCCATTGTTCTTATGCATCTGAATTAACACATTGTTGAAATACCCCTCAAAGAGAGTATTAATCCTCCAGAGAGCACTTAATCTTGTTAACCTGTAATCTGACCCAATTATTTGATGTCTCCCACCTTCAGATAATCTTCTGCTCCTTCTTTCCTTAATTTCACGTGCATAAAAGAAGCTGCAAACCTCTTATTCTCCCGATCATTTGAGAACTTGCTCCCCAGCATATGTCGTCAATTTGGCTCAAATAAAATCTTATAAAATTCTCTACAGGCGTGGATATTTCTTATGTCAACAGTACCCAGACCCTTGATGCTAGATCCAAATACAGTGCTTACTAGAGGCAGTCTGAAACCATACAAGGAAAGAAAATAATTTCAGGATGGTGTGGTTATAGGTATAAAAGGATTGTTAGTGTCCACTTGGTGCTTCCAGGGACCTGGCAAGATTGTATCCTAAAGAGAACACATTACCACAAACCTCATGAGGAAATTGAGAAGTTCCAAGAAGCTGCACTATCTAAACGTTTTCCAGCCCGTGTTCTGTTAAGTTTGCTGAGACTGTATCCTTTGGCCTTATTCCCCAAAACTGTAACTTTGATGAGATGTGAAGACAGCTGTTTCACAAGGACTATAATTCAATACTGTGGGATATTTCCCCCCAGTGGTGGTAACTCTCATTTGGCATGTATAATATATTTCTCAAATCAGTAGATTCCTTTTCATGTGTTTATTGCCTTGTCTCCAAAGTCATCTGTCATTGACAACAGAAATCATCTTTCTATCCCTATTTCTAGCACAATGCCAGGCAGAGAGTAGTTGCTCAATTAAAAACCACTGTTCAGATGAGTAAAAACCAACAATATGATCAGTGGTTCTCAACCTTGGCTGCACATTAGAATCACCTGGGAATCTTTTTAAAATCCTGATTTCTGGGCCTCATCCTCTGGAAATTCTGTTTCTTTGTTACTAATGTTGTGGCCCCACCCCATAACAAAGAAACAGAATTTCCGGAGGATGAGGCCCAGAAATCAGGATTTTAAAAAGATTCCCAGGTGATTCTAATGTGCAGCCAAGGTTGAGAACCACTGGACATGATCCTACCAAAACACCCATTTAAAACAGCTAAGGAATCGCAGGTGACAGGAAGGCAACTAGAACAATCACACAGAAACTAATTATTATTTGCATCCCTAGTTTTTAAGTGCCAGATGGGGATGCAAATGGGATGTTTAAAAAGAAGTTCATTTACAGATATCTTCCTAGAGCACAAGGCAGAATTTTAAAAAATAGTACATAGAGATCAAGTAATGCCGTTCAAGGGCCATTCACAGTTGTTACACTGGCTGCATCCTGTGGAGAGTATGCTGCCTAATGAAGTGAACAGGAAAGAATGACCTATTCAGAGTTTTGACATCTCAAATGAAAACCTCTTTACAAAGTGTGTAGTGTTTCCCCAGCAACAAGCTGCTGCTGTAAACCTTCGCTGGCAATGGTGGAGACGCACAGGAGCATCTCAGTTCTCACGTTCATCAACTCCAGATAACCTTCTGCTGTGAGGAAAGGCACGTCAGCCTGGAAGGATATAAGCAGGTGGAACATCTGAAACAAACACATTTCAG